AGCATCTTGGGGACCGTGGAGCTGACGTAGCAGAGATCTATGAAGGACAGGTTGCTGAGGAAGAAGTACATGGGTGTGTGCAGGTGGGAGTCCATCCTTATCAAAACAAGGAGGGACAGGTTCCAGGTCAGACTTGTAATGTAGATGAGCAGGAATATAAAAAAGAGCACTGCTGTGATTCTGGGAAAATCTGAGAATCCCAGGAGGACGAATTGGGTGATCTGTGAACTATTCCTTCCCACTATCATTGCCTCAGTGCTCCTAATACTGTATCAGAAAGGCTACTAGAGAAGGCATTGCTGACTCAGGTGAAATTGTAGCTTTACAATTTTCATACCTGGCCACTTTTTCCTTCAGTGACCTCTGTAAAAGGAGAAATCCTTCACTGTCCTTCCGTGGAAAAACCCTTCTTTTCTTCTTGAATTATCAAGAGCCTACTCTGTGCTCCAGATTCTCAATTCATGGAGTCTTAGGAGACTGAAAAGAGGTGTCTTAGATTTTTGTCACTGTGACAGAACACCTGAGACAATCTTAAAGGATGGAAGTTTAGTTTGGCTCCTGGTTTGAGAGGGTCTAGTCCATAGTTGCCCCTTTGCTTTGCACTCATGGCAGCATGGTAGGTGATTGCAGGGAGTGTGTGGCTGAGGAGGGCACTGACTGCATTGTGGCTGAACAGCAAGGGCAAGAGCAGGGGCAATGGTTTCCAACATCCCCTTCACCTTCTGCAGTTACCTAACTTCCTCCAGCTACAGCTCATCTCTTCAAGGTTTCCTCACCTTCCAATAGAGCCACAGGACACAAGCAAGGCTTCAGTATAGGGAACATTGGAAGATCAAAGATCTAAACTACTAAAAGAGATATTTAAAATTTGACTGGTAAAATGTGTAAAGCACGCCATAGGAATGTTAGGATGATTATGTAAAATGTAGAAACCATTAACTAAATCAGACTTTCAAAAGATTTTTTGAGAATTATTAAATAACTGGTGCTTTCTATGATTTCTAGAAATCATAGGTTTCCTCTTTCCAAAATAAATTTTAAATATGTTCTGTCCTGGGTTGCCATTTAAATATATTTTTTACATTTAAATGTTTTAAGAAAAATTATTTAACTTACTTGTAACAATTTCTCAAACTTTAAAAAACATATTTAATACATCTCCAAATTGGCATAAAACATAATATAATTTAAAATTTTGACATATTTTGATGGGGCAGAAACATGTGT